TCAGTTCTGGCAGGGCATCAGGCCAGAAGTTGCCTTGTGGCCAGAGCGGCCAGCAGGGCACCCTGTGAAGGGCTGGAGGCTCCCTATTTCGAAATAAGTGTCTACACAATGCTTATTTCGAAATAGCAATTTCAAAATTGGTGCTATTCCTCATGGAATGAGGTTTACCAATTTCTAAATAAGCCCTCCGCTATTTCGATTTAATTTTGAAATAGCAGTTTGGCTGTGGACACTGGTAAAGTTTTTCTTAATGTCCAACCTAAACCTCCCTTGCTGCAAATTAAGCCCATTGCTTCTTGTCCTATCCTCAGAGGTTACAAAGAACAATTTTTCTCCCTCCTCCTTTGGTTTACTTAAAAACGGTTAGCATGTCCCCTCTCCGTCTTCTCTTTTCCAGACTAAACAAGCTCATTTTTTTCAGTCTTCCCTCATTGATCCTGTTTTCAAGACCTTTAATCCTCTTTATTGCTTTTCTCTGGACTTTGTTCAATTTGTTCACATCTTTCCCAAAATGTGGCGCCCAAGATCGGACACAATACTAGAGTTGAGGCCTAATCAGCATCGAGGTGAATGGAAGAATTATTTCTCACGTTTGCTCACCATACAACATCCCAGAGTGATATTTGCTTTTTGGGCAACAGTGTTACACTGTTGATTTGTATTTAGCTTGTGGTTCACTATAACCCCTAGATTCCTTTCCTCAATACAAAACTGAATCTACCTCCCTAAGTGGAGCACTTCGCATTTCTCCATCCTGTTTACTTCAGACCTTTTCTCCAGTTTGGCCAGATCATATTGAATTTTAACCCTATTCTCCAAGCACTTATCCAAAGATACCTCCCCCAGCGTGGTATCGTCCAAAAATTTTATAAGTTGTCTCTCTATGCCATTGGATAAATGCGGGTGGGCAAACCTTTTGGCCTGAGGGCCACACCAGGTTTCAGAAATGATCTAGAGGGCTGGGTAGAGAAGGCTAGGGGTGTCTGTGCCTCCCAAAACAGCCAGACATGCCCCCATCCAACCCTCCAATCCCCACCTCCCAGCCCCTCTACCGCATCCAACCCACCACTGCTCCCTGTCCCCTGACTATCCCCCCACTTCCTAGTCAATGAGCCTTGCTCCCCATCTCCTAACTGCCCCAGGACCCTCTGCCTCCTATCCAACCCCCTTGTTCCTCACTGCCACCACTCCAGACCTGGGGCACCCCTACTCTCCATCCCCTGACCAGCTCCCCCTGACCATGCCACCTGGAGCACTGGGGCTGGCGGTGCATTGAGCGCACCCCCCAGGTGCTGGAAGAGTTGAGGTTGCAGTGGGGGTGGGGGGACAGAAGGGGAGGGGTCTGGAGCTCAGGGGCTGAACAGAAGGGTCTGGCAGACTGGATGTGGCCCGTGAGACATAGGTTGTCCGCCTCCTATCTAATAATGGATGAAGCTGCTGGTGGCGGTTCAGAGACAGTAAGTAACTTAGCTTAGAAAAGGAACCTAATCTAACGCAGAAGTGCAACACCTGAAACCTGTGTCTTCGGGTTCCTTTTCTGTGCAGCTTGTGGGTGTTGCTTTTCCTGACTATTTCATCTCCACCGCTGGGATTGTTTTCTAGTCAATAAACATTTGTGTTTATTTTGTGTCTCGAGCCAGTCTCTGGGGTGCAAACTAGGGGCTGTTTTCACACCTTCGAGTTAAGAAAGCAAAATGCCATTTAATTGGTTAGGGGCCCTCCCATCAAAATCTCATTTAATTGGTATGGGGCCCTACCACCCGCTGCTGGGTTGGAACGGCCTCCTCATAAAAACGCTGGAGCACCCCTGCCTGCAGAATGCCCGGGCCCACCACAGGCAGGGGCTGCTCCAGCTTCCACCAGTTAACCGGAATCAGTAAGCCTCACCCATTAAGACTGATACTTACCAGTTAACTGGTTCCTTGGTTAATCTCCAGAGATGGAGATTCCACAACCTCCCTGAGCAATTTATTCCAGTGTTTAACCATCCTGACACTTAGGAAGCTTTTCCTAATGTCCAACCTAAGCCTCCCTTGCTGGAATTTAAGCCCATTGCTTCTTGTCGTAACATGAGAGGGCAAGGAGAACAAATTTTCTCCCTTCTCCTTGTAACACCCTTTAAGGTACTTGAAAGCTGCTCTCATGTCCCCTCTCAGTCTTCTCTTTTTTAAACTAAACAAACCCAATTCTTTCAGTCTTCCCTCAGAGCTCATGTTCTCTAGACCTTGAATCTTTTTTGTTGCTCTTCTCTGGACCCTCTCCAATTTCTCCACATCTTTCCTGAAATGTGGTGCCCAGAACTGGACACAATACTCCGACTGAGGCCTAACCAGCGCAGAGTAGAGCAGAAGAATGACTTCTGGTGTCTTGCTCACAACACTCCTGTTAATGTATCCCAGGATCATGTTTGCTTTTTTTGCAACAGTGTCACACTGTTGACTCATATTTAGTCCTCACATAGCTAGCTGCATCAGCAGCACAGGGCACCCTAGAATCTGACCCTTGGGTTCTACTCTCATGCTAGGTTTACACTGGGACAAGTGCACAGACCTCAGTGGAGTTACAGGTAAATGCGAGCAGACTCAGGCCCCCGATAATCAGTACATTTTGAAAAATTACTGCACTTACTACAGGAGAACAGCACAGCCAATGCTAAGAGGAACTTCATCTTCCACTTGTCAGGATCTGGAAGAAGAGAAACCCACACTGGTCTTCTATTCAAGAGGAGCAGTCCCTCTGTCCAGCAGGCTGTAGAAAATCGGTTACTCCATACATCCCAATGCTGGCCTCCGTCTGCAAATGCAAACTCCCACGGAGTTGAAGAAGCTTTTTACTGCAGTAAGTGACGTGCAGTTCCAGGCCTGTAGAAAGAGAAGCAGGTTTTATCAATGGTTTCACCACTGGCGCACGAGACCCTTCGTTAATGTGAGATGCTTCGTTAACACAAGTGGAAACACAGACACAGCATAAAACACACAAGGGTTAAGCAGCTGAAATTAGCCAATTACCCAACGTGAGTGTCTCATGAATTTGCCTGGTTAAAGTGTGGGCTCAGGAACTGATGCAAGTTTTCATGTTTCAGTAATCCAAAGAGAGTGAAATCAATGCTTACTGGGAACACAAAACACATGGTCGTATGGTAACCTCTACAGAGCTCAAATAAATGAATTTATCCTTAGCTAAGGTAATCCTCATAAGAACATAAGAACGGCCACACTGGGTCAGACCAAAGGTCCCTCTAGCCCAGTATCCTGTCTGATGACAGTGGCCAATACCAGATACACCAGCGGGAGGGATCACAACAGGTAATCCTCATGTGATCCCTCTTTGTCACCCTCATCCAGACAAACAGAGTCTAGGGACACCATTCCTACCCATCCTGGCTAATAGCCATTGATGGACCTAACCTCCATGAATCTATCTAGCTTTTTTTTAAAGTTCTAGCCTTCACGCATCCTCCGGCATGGAGTTCCACAGATTGACTGTGCGCTGAGTGAAGAAAAACTTCCTTTTGTTTGTTTTAAACCTGCTGTCTATTAATTTCATTTCGTGACCCCCTAGTTCTTATATTGTGGTAATAAATAAATAACTTTTCCTTATTCTCTTTTTCCATACCAATCATGATTTTATAGTGCTCTATCATAACCCCCCTTAGTCTTCTCTTTTCTAAGCTGAAAAGTCCAAGTCTTTTTAATCTCTCTTCATACGGGACTCATTCCAAACCCTTAATCAATTTTGTTGCCTTTTTCTGAGCCTTTTCAAATGCCAATATATCTTTTTGGAGATGAGGCAACCACCACTGTACGCAGTATTCAAGATGTGGGCGTACTATGGTTTTATGTAGAAGCAATAAGATATTTTCTGTCTTATTCTCTATCCCTTTTCTAATGACTCCTAACATTTTATTTGCTTTTTTCACTGCCACTGCACACTGAGTGGATGTTTTCAGAGAACTATCCACGATGACTCGAAGATCTCTTTCTGGAGTAGAGGGTGTATCAGTGGAGCTCCATTGAAGTCAATGGAGCAATGCTGATTGACATCTGCCGAGGATCTGGCTCGGGGTATTAAAATATAACAAAAGGACATCAAATCACGCCACCTAGGATGACACGTGTTAAGGACATAAAACTATACATCATGGCTGTGTCTAGACTGCATCCCTTTTTCGTAAAAAGGACGCAAATTAGACATTGCAATTGCAAATGAAGCGGGGATTTAAATCTCCCCCGCTTCATTAACATAAAAATGGCTGCCGCTTTTTTCCGGCTCGGAGCTTTGCCAAAAAAAAATAAGGGATAAGGGAACTTTCAGAAAAGGCTTTATTTTCCGAAAGATCCGCGTCTAGACTGGCGCGGTTTTCCAGCAAATCTCCGAGCCGGAAAAAAGCGGCAGCCATTTTTATGCTAATGAAGTGGGGGAGTTTTAAATCCCCGCTTCACTAGCAATTGCGATATGTCTAATTTGCATCCCTTTTCCGAAAAAGGGATGCAGTCTAGACACAGCGAGCCAGTATGGACCAAGGCCCAGATCCTCATCCCATTGAAATCAGTGGCTAAACTTATCTTGAGTTCAACAGGATTGAGACATACCATCAGTGCTGGTGCGAGGGGGGCTGCTGCAGCCCCTGACTTGAAGTGGTTTCCATTCTACACAGGGTTTATAGTTTGGGTCAGTCTCTCTCGGCACCCCCACCTTACAATTTGTCCCAGTGTCCGTGCATGGCAGCGTAGAGCTAAGCTCTTTACAAGCTTTATCACTCAAACATGGAACTTAGAATAGTCAAACGGACTCTCTAAGCTGAAAAGAAACATAATAGGGATAAAAGTCCTTGTTTGTCAAATGGAGCCACGGAAGGCGAACGCTCCAGTTCACAGGTGGTCTGTGTCACCAAGGTGTGGGAAGTCACTGGGCCCAGACATGGCTTTCATCCAGCAGTAGAACAAAAGGTTTATTGGTTCACAGGGACACAGTGAAGAACAGACTTGTCAGCGCAGGAACCAGAAGCAATCAGAACAATCCATCTTGAGGAGAGGGGAGGTCCAGAGACAATGACCCTGCCCCCCATCTCTACACCCCAAGGCAGTGAGACTCACTCACGCTCTCAGCAGCTCATCTCTGTCTCGATCCAGCCTTTGTCCAGCTTCCCAGGTAAAAGGTGTCACCTGGTCACACTCCCCTCTCAGGCTCAGGTTACAATGAGCCTGGGCGGTTGTGTACATGCAGGGCTGGGGCAGCCTCCCTCAGTGAGTCACACCCAGAATTCCCATCCCCATCTAGATAGTGGTGCAGTGCCCAGGGAAACTGAGGCACATATACAGGGTTACCACCGGACAGTACAAATCACTTGCAATATAAAGTGAACAGAATGAATACAATCCCCACTTCATCACAGCCTGTTTTAATGTCAGGCAGTATTCACAGATCTAGTCTGACCTGCCCGCAGCAGCCAGTGGATCTCAGCCATTAGTAGCATAAGGTTATTCTATACCACCACTGTCTTAAAAACACTATTAGCTCTGCTTTAATCTAGGATAAGCCTGAGTTTGTTACCTGCACCTCGTCCTCAGCAGCCAGCCTAAGGATCTTGTCCAAGAGTTGTTGGCTTTGGGGAAGCAAACTGATGACAAGGGTTATTTCTTCCATTGGGGGGAGGGCCAGGTTTGGACATGCTCTCTGGCCTGGAATTGGATGGGTCCTATTTTCAACAAACCAATGCTGACCAATTGGTGTAGAGAGCACGCTGCATTCATTGCCTTTGCACATCCCAAGCAGAGAAAACAGGGCCCTAGATTGGCAACTTCCTGACTGTAATGGCATGTGTTTACTGTGGTTTTAGTACCGGAACTAGTAGATGTCTCAAGGCACTTGCACTTGAAGTCAAAGTTCTGCTTTCAAAATGTCAAGGGTTTAAGCAACTGACATATGCCTACCCAGAACTCCCTTGTTTTGCCATACATGGATCTGTGGCCTTTATAAAGATTTCAGGGTGATTGATGTAACCTCTTTGATTAAATTTGCACAACCCCAGGTTCCTACTCAGGTCAGAGTTTCCTGACCAGCAGCTTTGTTACCTTGCAGTAGCATCCATTCCAAGTCCTCTGGTATTTAAAAGGCTTCTTTTCACATCCTCTGATGTGTTTCATGGGGGGTCTCTGTTTCCACAACATCTCAATATTCTGCTGTGTTACACAGCCCCCCTTAGCTCTTCCCAGGCGTAACATGTCACTGTTCTGGTAAAAGCACTTCTCTCCGAGGGGAATGTCTTCTTTCCCACATTCCCCAGGAGTTTGTGACTGTGTACTTTGAAAAGTCGGCTTCTGTTAAGCAGAGAGCAAATAGAAGCTGGTTTTCCCACAGGAATTCATCAAAGCTCTACTGCAGGGGTGTTTTCAATTCAACTGCCCCAGACTGAAATGGGGAGTCTCTTGCTGATCTAAATAGCCAGTTTGCAAGCACTGGTTCTGAGCTGTGCTGAGCTACACTGACTGGTAGTGCCAAGGAGCAATGGTGGGGATCAAGAGAAGAAGTCATTGCCACCCGGGCATTCGGACCCAATTCATCCTGGTTTGTCCTTTCCCCATCTCTGTTTTCTCCTCTAGCCCTTCTTTGGGGCCAGTTGGACGTTGCATCTTGTCCAATGCTCCATCTGTGGTCAGGTAAGAGATGGTTGTCTCTGGATTTATCAAACCCCCCACCAGGAATCCCGTTGGCAACAATGGGTGGAGTTTGGAGACAACCAGATATGAGAGCGTCTCTGTGGCCTTCTTCCCGTGCATAGCACTAGAATCATAGAATCATAGAATAATAGGACTGGAAGGGACCTTGAGAGGTCATCGAGTCCAGCCCCCCGCCCTCAAGGCAGGACCAAGCTCCATCTACACCATCCCTGACAGATGTCTATCTAACCTGTTCTTAAATATCTCCAGAGAGGGAGATTCCACCACCTCCCTTGGCAATTTATTCCAATATTTGACCACCCTGACAGTTAGGAATTTTTTCCTAATGTCCAATCTAAACCTCCCCTGCTGCACTTTAAGCCCATTACTCCTTGTCCTGTCCTCAGAAACCAAGAGGAACAAATTTTCTCCTTCCTCCTTGTGACATCCTTTTAGATAGGAGAGCCTGCTATGAAAGGCTGTAGGTCACCATGTAACCTTCTGCCTCAGTGAAAGATTTGCTGGGGCTAAGCTGAGTGATAGAGGTGTCATAACCCCTGTCTGTTAGCTGCCCCAAACAAACTTCTTGGGACACTGTCAGTCCTTTCCTTTGCCTTCCAGTGAACACTTGCTGCACCCCAGTTCCCAAGCCCCCCGGAAGAATGTTCCCCAGGATTATCCAGTCCTGATCAGTGGGTACTCTCGGAAATTGCCCCGTGTGATAGCTGCGAAGAGCCAACGTAGACACCAGCTTCTCTGAGGCAGCTTAGGTGAGGTTCCAGTATTCACGTGGCCTGAAACTCCCATAGGGTATGTCTACACTACAGTATTATTTTGAAATATCTTATTTCAAAATAGTTATTTCAAAATAACTTTGCTGTGTAGACATACCCTTGGGCTGTGTCTAGACTGGCAAGTTTTTCCGCAAAAGCAGTTGTTTTTGTGGAAAAACTTGCCAGTTGTCTACACTGGCCGCTGGAATTTCTGCAAGAACACTGACGATCTCATGTAAGAAATCAGTGCTTCTTGCAGAAATACTATGCTGCTCCTGTTTGGGCAAAAGTCCTTTTGCCCAAAAGGGCCAGTGTAGACAGCTCAGATTTGTTTTGCGCAAAAAAAAGCCCCGATCGCGAAAATGGCGATCGGGGCTTTTTTGCGCAAAAGCGCGTCTAGATTGGTACAGACGCTTTTCCACAAAAAGTGCTTTTGCAGAAAAGCGTCCGTGCCAATCTAGACCTTCTTTTCCGCAAATGCTTTTAACGGAAAACTTTTCTGTTAAAAGCATTTGCGGAAAATCATGCCAGTCTAGACGTAGCCATACTGATTTCACATCCTTGCCCTCCCTCGCATCAACCTGTTTTTTTTTCTGGTGGGCTAATATGCAGAGAGAGTCTCCTTCATGTTGGTTTCATAATGCAATTAATTAATTGCATGTAATTAATTGCATTAGGGAGAGGGTGGTAATTGGGTTCTATATCCCATAGTGAGGCAAAAATTGCTTGTCAACCATGTCCAGAACACAGATTCTAAACATGTGTTTGGTACATGCACTGACCTTCTTGCAGGACATCCACCACACACTGCAGGACATGATGGGGACCAGCATAACATTAGCTTTTAGTTGATCCTTCCCATGACATTCTTCATAGATAAATACTAAATGTCAACGTGGAAGATGTGATGAGTTTGTCAGGCCTGCTGACAGAGTAGTGAACCATGTGGCACAGAGAAGCATAGACGGAAACAGAGAGAAGGGCCCCTGGCAGGACGGCTCTGGGGAGAAAGGCATTTGCTGGTGGGCTGTGCTTCATGTAAAAGACCATAGTTACCTATTCCCTCTCCCCTAGTCCCTTAATGCATGTTATCATCGCTACCGTCACTCAGCAAGGATCTCCATGCATGGTGGCATTGCACAGAGAATCCTACAGTTGGAAGAGACCTCAGGAGGTTATTGAATCCAACCCCCTACCCAAAGCAGGACCAACCCCAACTAAATCAACCCAGGTCAAGCCAGGACTTAAAAACCTCTAGGAATGGAGATTCTACCATAAGAACATAAGAACGGCCGTAGTGGGTCAGACCAAAAGTCCATCTAGCCCAGTAGCCTGTCTGCTGACAGTGGCCAGCACCAGGAGCCCCAAAGGGTGTGGACCGAAGACAATGATCAAGCGATTTGTCTCGTGCCATCCTTCTCCAGCCTCTGACAAACAGAGGCCAGGGACACCATTTCTATCCGCTGGCTACTAGCCTTTTATGGACCGAACCGCCATTAAATTATCTAACTTCTCTTTAAACTCTGTTATAGTCCTAGCCTTCACAGCATCCTCTGGCAAGGAGTTCCACAGGTTGACTATGTGCTGTGTGAAGAAGAACTTTCGCTTATTAGTTTTAAACCTGCTACCCATTCATTTCATTTGGTGTCTTCTAGGTAACCCATCTCCCTAGGTAACCCATTCCAGTGCTTCACCATCCTCCTAATGAAATAGTTTTTCCTAATATCCAACCTAGACCTCCCCCACTGCAACTTGAGACCATTGCTCCTCTTTCTGCCATCACTGAGAACAGCCTCTCTCCATTCTCTATCCTTCAGGTAGTTGAAGGCTGCTATCAAATCCCCCCTCACTCTTCTCTTCTGTAGACTAAATAAACCTAAATCCCTCAGCCTCTCCTCATAAGTCATGTGCTCCAGCCCCCTCATCATTTTGTTGCCCTCTGCCGTGCTCTCTCTAATGTGTCCACATTCTTTCTGTAACGAGGGCCCCAGAATTGGACACAATACACCAGATGTGGCCTCACCATCTTTTGCATTTGACTGTATCTCTCTGAGCTAATGAATACCTGTCTTAATTTGCTCCTACTCCGTTAGCCTGAGGCACAGCTGGAGCAGCAGCACCTGTGTGAGTGAGAGTCTGGGCCCTTCTGAAAGTGGAAGGTCAGTGCGTATGGCCTTCGCCAGACCCACACCTCCCAAGGTCCTTTGATGCCCTCTTTTGCACCTAAAGGATTCAACTCCCCCAATGCTTCTGATCCATCTAAACTGCCACACAGGCAGCTGGAAATCCTGACCATCACCTGTGCCTCAGTTTCCCTTTCTGTAACTGGGACCAATGCTCCTGAAAGGTGCTTGGATCTCTCTGGCTGGCAGGAGCTATGGCAGTGCCAAGTTCTTTATTACTTCCATTAGGTATTAATTATTGCAGCACAAAAGGGGATTTAAACCAGGTCCCACAGTCTTCTCTCCTGGGACAGCTGATGCCTCTGGGTGACTTATTTCCAACCTCAGTGGCAAGTAGAAACAGATCCTAGGAGCCTGATTCACCTCTCGTTTACTGCAGGCCTGACCCTCCACAGCCCTGCACTGTGTGTACCCTCCTGCCCTGCACATCTAGGCAAAGCCGGTGTGAAACCCAATTACACTAAGGCATGTCTACACTACAGATTTTTCCTTCCCGCTAACTGATTGCAAATTAATTCGAGATGGTGAATGGATTTGTAAAACCTCATCTAGACACTGCCTAGCCCTGCGCTCTAGGCTACACAGGTTTATGGTTTACCCCCAAATATGTGCGCCATGGAGCAAACGATTCAGAAGCATTCATATGAGCCTTTGCAATGTGCTCCCTACCTTGAGTGAGTCAGCTGGAGTGGAAGACGTTAGAGCAGACATTCCGTATGGCGGCTTGGCATGGCTCGGGCAGGGCACAGGAGCCTTAAAGTGGGAGTAAATAACACCTGAATTGAATTGTAAATGTAACAAGTTATATTCATGCCTTTTTACATAGCCAGAGTGGGGCATAGCGGCCTTTGCCTAACCAAGACTCAGGCTTGGCCATTTCTAAAGTGTTACCATGTAACTTCCCCTTTATACAGCTGTCCAAAGTTCAAGGTAGCAAAGAATCAGGCCAATCCAGTTTACACTAGTGTAAATGGGAGGAAAAATCAAGGCCACTGAATCTAACCACCAGAATGTTGCCTCTTACTGACCAAAATGCAAAAGGCGTATGTGAGTACGCATGGGGGTTTACTGAAATAGTTATACCAGGATAAGCACTAATGTGTGTACAGTTATAATGATACGAGGTAAGAGACGCTTAGTCCATTTCCCATGTGGGAATACGAGATCCTGGTGTAGCTGTTTACCACTTTACCTACCCTGGCAGAGGGAAAGGAAGAGAACTTTTATGTGTAGACAAGGCCTGATAATAACAGCCCTTCTACAGCACTCCTCATGCATTCTCTGCCTCCATTCCCCAGCTGGTAGACACACACCAGCTTTTAACTCAGAGCTGGATGAAATACGGCAAGAATGAAGGAGATGATCAGTAATTCTTACCGGCACTGGACTTGGGAATGTCTCCACAGCTGGAGTAGCTCCTGGCTTGTGCTGGTCACCCACTTACCGTTTATATCTTCCTCTCCTGCTCCCAGAAAGCCTGTGACCACATGCAGCTGAATTTTGTAATGCTCCAGATGGCTGGACAGGTAGGCACTAGAGCAGGGGTGGGCAATAACTTTGGAAGGGGGGCCACTTCACAAATTTTGAAAGTGGCCATGGACCAACCTGGAAGGGGCGGGGTTAAGAGCTGCCCTACTAGGAGCTTTGCTTGGCCTAGGGTCCCTCCCCCCTGAATGATGGCCAATGGAAGGAACCTAGAGCAGATGGGAGGGTTCCGGGGGCTAGCCTCCTCCCAGAGTTGTCTGGGGTGGAGGCTTAGAATTCACATAACACAGATGACAGCTCCTGTTAACCTGTGAAGCCCTATGAACAGAAGCAGTCGAAAGGGCTCGTGCCTCTCAGGCAGCTCCCAGGCAACCAAGAGCTGCGAGCCCTTCTAACTGTTTCTATTTAAAGGGCCCTCGTGTTCCCCACGGCTGCCAGGCAACATGTTGCCCAACAGGCACGGGGAAGGAACCAGCCCTGTAAATAGAAGCAGTTAAAAGGGCTCGCAGCTCCGGCGCCGCTAGCGTATTGCTAGGGAGCCAGAGACATGCGAGCCCTTTCAACTGCTTCTATTAAAAGGGCCTGCGCCTTCCCAGGGCAGCTAGGCAAGGTGTGGGGAGGACACGAGACCTTTAAATAGAAGCAGTTACAAGGGCTCATGCATCCCTGGCTCCCAGGCAATGCTCTGAGAGGCTTTTGCCCACCCCTGCCCTAGAGATAGAATTCCTTTCTTTACCAGCGGTCTGGCAGAAAACCCAGTCTCCCCTCCAGTAAGCTGTTACGTTACTCTTCCGTCTCACTTTCTGTTATATTGAGCAATGTCTCTCCTTCTCCGAACTGCCCTAACCTCAAATACTCTAAATCTTTCACAACCTGGCTAACACAAAGCTGCACCGTGGGATGCGTGTGCCTTTCCGGAGAAGTATGGGAACTGGACTGACAACTAGGCAAGAAACCACATGGCATCAGAGCCATCTGAGAATGGAAGTTTCAACGAGGATGACACTGCCCAGCATTGCAAAAGGAGAACATACATGTAAATAAGAAAGTAACTAACCAAGACACCAGATTTTACCGTTTTTACTGCAGAGGCGCATGTTTTGCTCCCATTTACACCAGTGTAAATGCTAATTACTTAATCTCATTTATTCCAGATTTGCCCTGGTGTAAGAGGACAATTTGGCACAGTATCTCCACTGACTTCCAGGGAGTTACTCCTGATTGATAGCATAGTTAAATTAGGCTCATTAAGTCCCTGAATCACAATGTGTTTTAATCATGTTGGTATTTACAACCAGTTCTTGAGATTTCTATCTTGTCAAAAGCACTAACGAAACAATTAAATTCATTCCCTTCACCAATCAGGCACATGATTGTTTTGTTATTTTAATTTTTTTTAAAATACAGCAAAAAACCATTGCTACATAAAATGGGATCAACATTAAAAATGATCCACACAAAAACTATTATGCCTCACTGCAGAATTAAACAGTGCATACACAATTTTGTATCAATAAATCCCTGGTTCTTAAACTTTCTGGCCTGTGGCCTACTTTGTTCAACACAGACCCTTTCATGGATCATCAACCAGCACCCATGATGACAAAATGGGTGCAGGAGTGGAATGGGAATGGGGCATCAGCGTGGGAGGTTGGGTGCAGGATCAGGAGGGGGTGCATGAGGCGGATTAGGTTGCAGGGTCTGGGCATGAAGGAGATGGGGACACTTACTTGGCTTTGTGCATCCCACCACACCCAGGCACCATCCCCTGCTGCTCCCATTGGCTGTGATTCTGGCCAACAGGAGCAGCGGGAAAGCCTCCAGGCAAGCAGTTTCCTGCACTGCCATTGCCCCAGTTAGGGGGAGAGGGAATAGCAGCATGTGGATCTACTTCCTTCCCCTACAAGCCAGATCTGACCCAAGAGGCTCACTCGGCTCCCCCTTCCCATAGTGGGAGGCCAGGCTGGGGGGCAGACATGGCTAGAGCCCCAATACAGATTCCTCACTGCAGGGGGGAGGTATCCCAAGTCCGCAGCCCACCTGCAAGACAATCATGGACCATTAGTGGTCACACCGTGAGAATCACTGCTATGAATGCGTGTGTGTAATAAACAGACATCACAAAACAATCACGTTTTATTGCTCTACCTTGTGCTAACAGAAAAGAAAGTACAGTCAGATGGCAGTTAAAGAATCAACACCGTTTTTTTAACACATGAGTGCCTCCTTCCCACACCTCTTCTTGGAATAGAAGCGATAAGCCTTGTTGTAGCTGCTCAAGTGTTCCTTCAAGCAGAGCACAAACTTCTTGTCACACTGGCAGCTCAGCTCTTCGCACCAGTCCCCCAAGCCTGCCGACAAACAGTAACAGGATACGTGTTTGAGAGGGGAGTGGTGGGGAAAAGGAGAGAGGCTCCATATGGGGCCATGTGACTTCACTGTGATCCTGGGGTGTGACATACCCAAGAGCGCTTTAACCTAGCTAGCTTAGGTCCTGAAGAAGTGGAGCTGTGGTATTATTGCTTCAGTGTGGACCATGCAAGACCCCTAGATAATTACTTGCAGAGCAGTCTGCAGCACTGAAGTGAGCCCGACTGTAACTACACAGGTCTCAAGACCTGAGTTAACGAGGTAAGTGCTAGCTGCAGTATCACCTTGTGTAGTCCTACCCCAAGACAGAGTGTGCTGACACCTAGGAGCTGGTCTACAATGTGAAACTCCATCACGTTATAACGAGGCACAACGGTAACTGATGCAACGTTAAACATGACATAGTATCACAGACAGGGGCTGTAGTGTTCAACATCCTATTAATTACCTTGACTCCACAAGGGTGCTCTCAAACACACCACAATTTCCCATTTAGACAAGTCCCTAGAGCAGTGGTTCTCAAAGTGTGGTCTGTAGACCACTAAGGCTACGTCTACACAGCAGCGCTATTTTGGGATACCAGAGTATCCCGAAATAGCTATCCCACGTCTTCTCAGCAAACCCGTTATTTCGATCTTGCTATTCTGACATCCCAGTAAACCTCATTCTGTGAGGAGTAAGGGACGTTTTGGAATAGCGCTTTATTTCAACATTTGGGGCTGTGTAGACAGCGCCAAATGACAAAATAAGCTATTTCGAAATAGTATTGAAATGCGATACGCAATTTGTGTAGCTCAAATTGTGTATCTTATTTAGAGTTATGGTGCAGTGTAGATGCCCTCTAGTGGCCCATGACCATCTTGCAGGTGGGCTAACAGCAGTGCAGGAAACTGCTCACCTGGAGGCTTTCTCTGCTGCTCCCCTGGGCTGGAATCCCGGCCAGGGGGGAGCAGTGGGGGACAGTGTCTGGGAGCGGCAGAGTGTGCAGAGCCAGGTAAGTGCTCCCATCCCCCTCATGCCCAAAACAGTTTGCCTCGATCCAACTCATACCCCCTCTCCTGCTCCTGCACCCAACCTCCCACTCAGATGCCCCACTCCCAGCCCGCTCCTGTACCCATTTTGTCATTATGGGTGTTGGGTGGTGGTCTGTGAAAAGTTCTGTGTTGAACAGGGTGGGCTGTGGGCCAAAAAGATTGAGAACCACTGCTCTAGAGAGGAACCCTCAGCTCAGCATCCTCCTGGGGGACAGGACATCAGGGCAGGGAGTGGGAGGGGGTGGAGGACAGAGCAGGAGGCTGGAGGTATACAGGTGAGTGCAGGGGGGCAAGGGCACCAGTTTGGAGGAGGGGAGCTGCAGCCATACATACCAAGTTGCTGCTGCTCTTCCTCGTCCTCTGAATATAGGGGAGCGAGGGTAAGTGTGCAGCTTGTGTGAAGTCTCCTCTGCCCCTCCCCCTGGCATTATGCACTTTCCCCTCACTCCCTGACAGTAGGGGAAGAAAAGCAGCAGAGTTCCAGCTGCATGCGGCTGCAAATTCCCCCCAAGGGAGTCGGGGAGGAGTTTAGGGACTGGGGCCACCCCAGAGCTGGGGTGGAGGAAGCTCACACCCCCAGCCAGTTCCTTTCACCTGCCTGGCTGCCTTCTTCTTAGCAAGGCAGCCTGCAAGAGAGCACCGGGAGCCCATCTGGGAGCAGCTGTAGCCCAGCGCCTCAGCCCACAGGCTTCTCTGGACTGGGCCCTCCGTGGACACGTGCCCACATGTGCAGCATGTCCTGCATGCCCCCTAGTCGCACCCCTGCTTACAGGAGTAACTAAGCATGATTCCCCACTCCATCACTCCAGTTTTACTCCAGCCCCAATTAAGTCTCCCTTCTGAATTCATCCTATTAATTTCTCATCTCTCCACCCTTGTCACAGTGGGAAGCAAATCACATTTCTATTGGTTTTCCCCATTTCTGCCCCTTTCCTGTCGTTGAGATTCTGATCTCGGGGGGCTGGCTAGGCTTTCACTTTCACTGGCTTGGAGAACTCCTAGCTGAGAGCAGATGCTAGGAAGACATCTCCTTGTAATCAGGAAAGCCCCCCCCCCATGCTTCAGGACAGCATATAAGCATGTGCTTAAGTGTTAGCTTGATGTGGGGCCTGCACCTTCAGGTTCAGCCAGTGACTCTGGGTCTCTTATCCTGCTCCTTACGCCCCAGATCAAGAGCTCTGGCGGACTGGGCTCAGGATATAGATTTTAAAAGGTAAAGCAATCAGCTGATTTAGGACAAGAAACAAAACCAAACCCCTGTCTCTCCGTCCAGGAGCCAGCTCACCGCAGTGGATCTTCCCACTCAGGTAGAAGTAGCTGTACATGTATATTTTGGGGAAGCACCCACGATCCTGAAGCTTGTCATAGCAACAGTCATGCAGGCGGCAGCACCTTGGAGGAAAGGAAGAGCTCAGCAATGAGACACGCACGTGTAGGCTTAACACACAAGCAAAGAAATCCCCATTGACCCTTTTCTAGTGTGTGTTTTGACACGAGGGGCCAGCTTCTCTTGTAACTTACACTGGTGCAAATCAGGAGTAAAACTACTGGTGTGAACAGGTTTGGTTGTCGGTTTGTTTTCCATCTATATAGGTTACATGTTGGGGTTGCGGAGGGTTAGCCCCGGTGGGCTGCCGCTATATTAACCTGCACGGCCCATTGGCCATTCGCTGTTCCTGGCCAAGGGGAGCAGCAGGAAATGGCATGTTCTGGGACAACACTTCCTGCAGCTCTCATTGGCCAGGAACAGCAATCCACGGCCAATAGGAACTGCAATTGCCCGTACCTGCAGCCATGCAACTAAACACAGTGGTGGAAGCCCGCCAGGGCTAACCCTAGTGGACCAGATCTAGCCTGTGGGCTTTTTACCCACCCGACCAGTGTGCATAAGCACATTTCTTAGGGGCTTTATTGTGCTGTTCATCCTTAAACCAAAATATCTCAAATCAATGAGACGCTCCTCTTAAAAAACCCAGTGGGGTGGGATGGCTTGGATTCCTTACCTCTTCAATCCCAGAGGGGGGAAATGCCTGTGCATTTAAGGCCAAAGGTGGTAGCCTTCTTCCCAACTCCAACACAGTGGGGCACCCCATTCTAAGAAATACGGAGAGGTAGATTCAGCTACCTTCCTTGGACAGGCTCGGGAAAGCAGCTCTGTTTATGAAACCAGACTCCTTAGTAACTCAAATCCACCTCTCTTTTGAAAATGCATTTCGTGTAGACTGACGTTGTGCCAGCCAGTTGATTAGAGCCATGCCAGTTTACACAAGGTATTTGGCCTATTGGCCTTATGCAGTTGAGAGCATCTTGGGTCAATACAGACTTGGGGCCAAATTTTCAGAGGCGAAAATTTTAAGTGACTCAGGAGCTCATGTTCTATTTTCTAAGCTGAGTTTGGCCCAGGAGGCCAGATTTTCTGAAGTATTTAGGTGCTTAAAGAAGCAGAAAGTACTTCTGAAAAAGCCCACTAGATACCCATGTGCTTAAATCCTATTGATTTCCAGGGAATTAGGCACTGAGGCACTTTTGAAAATTCCACTAGATGCTCATCTGCAGGGATCTAAATGCCTTTGAAAACTAGGGATGTTAGTGTGTAGTCGGTTACATGATTGACCGATAAGCCTGGGCTTCTCTGTTAATCATAACAACTACAGACAACTACTCCCTTTGCTGCCTCTATAACAGAGGCAGCAAAGGGCAGGGGGGAGGAGGGAGAGATGGGAGCCAGTACCAATGGGGAGCTGGATTTTAAGCCTGCTCCTTCTGCATGCTGGCTCCCGCAGAGCCACCTACCTTCCCCCCACCCTGCTGCCTTCCACAGAGGCAGTAGTATGGGAGGGGGGGGGGCAAACAGGAGCTGGTGCTTGGGGGGAGCTGGTTTAAAAGCCAGCTCCCCACAAGCACCAGCTCCAACAGAGCCACCTGCACCCCCTTCACCATGCTGCTGTGGCTCTCTGTGCATGCTGGCTTTGGAGAACTGCCTGTTCCCCATTGCTGCCTTCAACAAAGTCAGCAGCATGGGGGGTGGTAACACCTGGCCCCCCCCTGCTGCCTCTGTGGGAGGCAGGGGGGAAGGTGGGTCTGGAGAAGCTGGCTCCCTGTGTGTGTTGGCTCCCCCCTCACTCTGTACTTCTGCCTTTGATGGGAGCTAGTACATGCAGGAAGTGGCTTTCAAGCTGGCTCCCCACATGGAGCAGCCTGCCCCCTTCACTGCTGCTTCTTTATCAGAGGCCACGGGCGGGGTGAGGCAGGAGCTGGTGCTTGCAAGTAGCTGGCTTAAAAGCCGACTTCTCCAAGCCCTGGCTCCTGCCTTCCCTCTTCCCCCCGCGTATAAAAGTGTAACTACTGACATTTCCAGTGGTTACACGTTTACACAAATAAATGACAGTTAGCGACCCTATTGAAAGCCCCTTTGTAAGTGTCACCCTGACGGATGTGCCTGGCAGGCTTTTTAAGACGGGAACTTACTGATCGGTGCTATCCTTTGGCATCCCTGCCCCGCCCCATCCGCAGTAACAGCCGTAGTGGGAATAATTCGGAATGGCACTCTTCCTGGTTACTTCCTTAATCATCCTTTGAAGCTCCCAGAGACTCCCCTGTGTCAGAACTGTGCCTGGGGAAACAGCCAAAGGAAATCCAGTGCTGCGAGAGGAGGCATTGCCAAAAGGAAGTGATGTTTATTCCTGTGCCTTTACCAAGCTGCGTTGTGAGCTTGGCAGGTAGAGCGACCCGGAGTTGCAACAGAACGAGCCTGAAGCACGGGTGGGAACCAAAGTCAGCAAACTTTATGGTAGGAGTAACAGGTAGGCCCTGCCTGCAAATCAGTGTCCAGGACACAGATGCGGTATCAGTTTTGCTAGCCCTGCTAAAACACACAGAGCCTGTAAATACATTCCAGCAGGACAGCACAAGGCTGCCCCAGTCTAGCATGCGATAAAGTGGTTTGACACAAGTGATGATATTTTGTCTGAAACATCAGGAGGGGAAGAATAACACCAGGTGGTGAATAGGAACGTTTTGTCTGAAGTATCAGGAGGAAAGTACAAGGGAAGGTAACAAATGTGCCATGAAACATGTAAGATGATGCACAAGGTGTGAATCCCAGATTGTTTGTCTCAGTCTATAAGGGTACGTCTAAACTACATGTCGGCAGAGGCATGTAGATTTGTTTTTTTGGCAAAGGCAAATGAAGCCGTGATTTAAATGATCGCGGCTTCATCTACATTTACATGGCTGCCGCGCTGAGCCGACAAACAGCTGATCAGCTGTTTGTCGGCTCGCGCGCTAGTCTGGACGTTCCCCCTGTGGACATCAAAGCCCTTTGTTGGCAGCCCCGGTAAACCTCATTCCATGAGGAATAACGGGGCTGCCGACAAAGGTCTTTGATGTCGGCAGGGGAGCGTCCAGACTAGCGCGCGAGACGACAAACAGCTGATCAGATGTTTGTCAGCTCAGCGCGGCAGCCATGTAAATGCAAATGAAGCCGCGATCATTTAAATCTCGGCTTCATTTGCCTTTGCCTATGCGTCTAATCTACATGCTTCTGCCGACAGAGGCATGTAGTCTAGACACAGCCTAAATGTTGGGATAGTGGCATGAATATAGTCCTGCAAGTGCAGGCAGATCCCTGTTCCAGGTAGTATGTGATAGCAGTTCTAATATGCAGAAGAACATGTACTGGTAATCCCAGCTGCAAAAGGGCTTAATGTCATGCCATAGAGTTGTTTAGGAGACAAGAAGTTTATTAGCTGGCAGGGGGCTTGTATAGAAACACAAGTGGAAAGGATGGCTTGTGTGCTGTACTGCTACTCACATGGCAGTGCCATTAATAAAGGGGTGCAGTGCCTGGGAAGGTGCAGCAAACTTTCTCAGGCCTCTTACAGTCTCAGCTGAGCCCAGTCACCCTATTTACTGTTGACCCTGGAGTGATTAGGCAGCTACTGGCAGGGCCATATTATAACTGGCTTTACATTTCCAAATTTCCTCTCCTTTTATTTTTTTCCTTTAAATTGGACTTTTGGCATTTTCCCAAATTTCAGAATGGTTCATGCTTTCTAAACAATCCAGCCAGCTCTTTAGCTGGTAAAAAACACCGTGTCTCCCCCCCCCCTCACCCCCCATCCTCATACAACTAGGATGATAATTATGCCAAAGTTTCATTACTATTTCCCCCAATTTTGCTTCACATTTCAACTAGTTCTACTTTCTCTCTCAGGATGTCTACACTGCAGTTTTTTTCAGCAGAAGATATGCAAATCTGCTCTCATTTGCATACCTTCTGCCAATCCTTTTTGCGGAAGAAGTTTTGCCGTTAAAAAGCCCCGTGTAGCTGGGGCCATTTGTTGGGAAAAAAACCCCCTTATTCCTCAAACAATGAGGTTTACAGGATCTTGTGAAAAAGGTTTTTCCCCCCGACAAATAGCCCCATCTACACGGGGCTTTTTAGCAGCAAAACCTCTTCTGCAAAAAGGATTGGCGGAAGGTAGGCAAATGAGAGCGCGAATTGCATATCTTCGTCCGAAAAAACCGGCAGTGTAGACCTAGCCTCAGTCTCCTGACAGGCAGGTTTTTGCAAGGGAAAAGTGCACAGTTTGCTAGATTCTCACTCTGGCTGGGGAGCACAGAGGCAGATGAACCTGGACCTGCTTCTGCTGGTGAACATGCACCCTTCCCCAAGCTGTGCCCGCTGGAGCTGCAGCAGCCATGGAGAGACGCTTCTCACCTAGCCCCAAGCTGCTGTGGTGAGAGAGGGCTGGGGTAGACCTCTCTCCCTGAGGCAGGCTGCACCCTGAACCCCCAATGATTTAAATGAAGCACAGACATTTTCATTTTATATTCCAAAACCTCAACATTAATTGGATTAAGCACCCAGGCAACGCTGGGTCAATCTTCTGGTAACTTTGTACTTGTGCACTAACTTCTCCCACAATTGATTGAGGCCACATCTCCATATACAGACCTTGCAGCTCTCTTGTGGGCGGTTCATGGAGGGTAGTGGTTATCAAGTATGCCTCACATGTAAGGGGTCCCTGGTTCAAAAATTTAGAAACAGTGCTGCTTTCACTTATAGTTCCTTTAGTTAAGCACTGGAATAAACTGCCGAAGGAGGTTGTGGAATCTCTATCACTGGAGATACTTAAGAGCAGGTTAGAAAAACATCTGTCAAGGATGATCTACATCAGTGCAGGGGCGGAGGAGAGTGCCGCGGGGCCCAGGGCAGCGCCGTGGGGCCCCGGGCAGCAAAATTTCACGCCCCCCCCCCTTTGACACAGCACATGCACCATGGTGCCAAGGCGCATGCGCGGGGCCTCGGGACACGCGGGGCTCGGGGCAGCCACCCCGCTCGCCCTGCCCTAAATCCACCGCTGATCAGTGTTTCTCAACCAGTGGTATGAGTACCCTTAGGGGTACTCGAGAAAAGTCTGAGGGGTACATCAACACAACTGAAATTTGGAGAAAACTGAATTTTTGTTTTAAGTTTTACAGCATTTTATTATTTTTGTACTTTTTACACCCAAAAATTTCATCGCCCGCCTGGCAATGATTAAGTTGTTTAAACAAATGCATTGCAATGGTAGAAAAAAAAATAGTGTGTCTGAAAGCTGTAGATACTGGGGGTATATATATATATATATAGAGAGAGAGAGAGAGAGAGAGAGAGAGAGAGAGAGAGATTTTTTTTAAAGGGGTACTTTATAAAAAAAGGTTGAGAAACACTGATCTAGATGGTGCTTGGTCCTGCCTAGATGGTGATCTAGATGGTGCTTGGCCTGGATGATCTCTCAAGCTCCCTTCCAGTTCTAGTGTTCTATGATTCTCCATAGATGCAGTTGTAGGTTCCCTTGCTTGACATGGCAAACAGACCCATAATTATCTATTTTGGGTCTGCACAGCCTAAACTCAAAACTCCTGTCATCCGAAGAAGTGGGCTGTACCCACGAAAGCTCATGATACCATCTACATGTTTTGTTAGTCTATAAAAGTGCTACCAGACCATTTGTTGTTTTTTAAGTTTATCCTGTACAGACTAACTCAGCTGCCCCAGAAGCTTCCAGTCCCATAATAGTCAGCCTGAGGATCAAATTCTCCCTGCACTGAAACTTGTGCTACCCCATTGATTTTAATGGCATTGTACTGATGCAACTGAAAGAGAAGTAGACCCAGACATGCAGTATTTGGAGGCACGTTTTGTAGCAAGTTATTACAGTTTTCAGCATACAGTCCAAGCTAGTACTCTCCCCTCCCACAAAGTAATTGGTGGGGGGTGGGGGGAAGGAATTATTAGGCCTGGTTCTGATTCACCTGTTTAACGCTCATATGCTATTGACTCCAATAGATTGAAGTGTTGGGGAGATCAGTGAATGTTTAACACTTACCACAAGCAAACAGCACAGCAACTACCAACAGATTCTTCATCTCTAGGCAGGGCCTGGAAGAAGAAACCAAAACCACCCTGATCTTCCATTCAGGCACAGGATTCAGTGACACATATTCCCACCTTGTTATGGGCAGCCTGCATGGGTCATTGTACGGAAAGCAGCTGAGAAGACCGCAGAAGCAGGGTTTTCTGACCCTTTGAATTCTTGAGAGCTTGCATTAGGAAGTGGAAAAAGCATAAACCAGGATGGGTGAAATCCAACCCTCTGCTGCAGGGGTATGTTTACATCGCAGCTGGGGTTGATCTTTCCAGCCTAGAAAGACAGAATTATGCCAATAGGGATCAAGCAAACATGCTAAGAATATCACTGTGAAGGTTGCATTTTGGGTGCAACTGCACCTAGCCACATAGACCTGAGACTGGGTAGTGAGTTACCCCAAGTCTTCACCAGAGCTTCCCCATCCACCTGGCTAGTTTTAAGCATGCAAACCTGAGTTCTGCCAGCACCAGTCTATCTGTGCTCAGGCTTGACCCCAGCAGCAGTGTAGGCACACCCCTGGGAGCCAGCACATTACTGAAGTCCTCTCTGGTCTTAAATGGTACGTGGATATCTGGTAGGCTCTCAGCACAGGGCTGAATTTCATGGTGCAATTCTAACGTTGCTCAGACTTTCTAAATCCTCCCCCTTCTGGTTGCTGGGAATTGTTGTACAGGTTGAACCTCTCTAGTCCGGCACTCTCTGGTCTGTTGTTCATGGTCTGGCATGATTTTAGTTAGCTGGATGTCCACTGATTATGGTAAGGTCGAGTTTCCCGTGGTCCCATAAAGTTTGTTTACCACCACCAGTCCTGGCTCTCAGTGTTCTGTGCTGTTCCTTAGCTCCAGTTGACTCCTAAATGTCTCCCCAGAGCCCAGTAAGCAGTGGAAGTGTTGGTCATGCTGATAGACAACATGCTGATTTGCCTGTGGTTTGGCAAATTCTCTGGTTGGGTGCCGGTCAGGTCCCGAGGGTGCTAGGCTAGAGAGTTTCAACCTGTGGTTTTTCCTTCAGCTGATATTGCGGTCGCTGTGAATTGTTGTACTGGCTGGTAGGAAGCCAAAACCAGAGCGCTGCCTGATGCCCCCCTTTAGGGTAGTGACACAATTCACCCTGCTTCGTGCACACGGGCACTAGTGACTCCAGTGGGATTTCACTTGCAGGACAAGTTCATTTCTGGCCTCAGTGTGAAGGATCCGAGTTACAGGAAATGGGTTCTCTTCCTTTCTCCCACATACAGCCTTTGTTTCATCCTGGGGCACAAAGCACCTTGCAGATGTGAGGACTCCGAGAGAGAATACTCTGTCAGGGTCACAGGCTGCAAATATTCACAACAGAGCCAGCAAGCGTAAAAGCATTGTCAGTTTCTCTGTACACAAGAGATATGCGGCTGCTTTGGTCTGCAGATCCAACTGGGGACACTGAAAAGCAACGGGGAGGGCAGGAAAACAATGGGAGACGCAGACAGGAGAGGAAAGCAAAGAGACAGAAGGCACTGAAGAGAAAGGGGGTGAAGATCACTGTCACTTGGATCTCTCTCTCTAAATCAATTCCTTGCCACTGCAGGAGCCCCATACATTGGTGCATCTCTGTCCCTCCTGTTATCTGCCTTGGCACATAATAGTTGAGTCTTCTAAGAGCTGTTTAATTTTGTCTGGTTCTGCTTGCTGGGCCTGGTGTGGGGGTGGCTGCGTGAGGTTTGTAGCTGGGGTTGTACTGGTCAGTTCTATTATTGCCTGAAACTCTCTGAGAGAAACAGCTGCCAACCCTATGATGACCTGCCAACCCTGTGATGACCTGGGCTTCTTGTACTCGGTGTAGCCTAAAGAACAGTGTGGCGAGGAACCGCGTGGCTTGCTACCGTTCAGTAACGCTGACTTGCAAACGAGGGGATGGGAACTGCTGCTCAGGCACAATGGTGGATCATCAGGAGACTTCTTGGACCCAGCCCATCAGTGTGTAAAGGTGGGTCTGGCCCACGAAAGCTCATCATCTAATAAACCATCTTGTTAGTCTTTAAAGTGCTACATTGTCCTGCATTTTGCTTCAGCTACCCCAGACTAACACGGCTACATCTCTACCACTATTGCACATTGTGAGGCATTCAGAAATTGTAGTGATGGGGGGGCATAGAAGGATCCCCAATAGGTTTCTCCTACCATTTGCCTCTCCTCTATTTAGAGTGGAAGTTCTTTGGGGCAGGGACTGCTCTTGCAATGTATGTGTGTGTGTCCAGGCCCAGCACCACAGGACTTTGGCCATGGTTGGGGACAATGAGTAAGCTATGTATGTAGAGATATTTGTGTGTCTGTCTGTGTGTGTGTGTCTTTCTGTGAGTCTATTTGGGTGTGTCTACACTACCCTCCTAGTTCGAACTAGGAGGGTAGTGTAGACATACCCCCAGATCTTTATCTTCTGCTCTGCCTTTGAACAGGGATAGGGGGACATTCACCTCACTTTCACACCTTCCCCACTCTGTTTGCAGCCAGGACCAGGGTTGTAACCACAGCAGAGCAGCTGCCCAGGGTGCACAGCCATGGAGGTGGGAAAATGGAGGAAGAGGTGTGCACCCCCTGCTGATTGCTATCTTGGGCAGAGCTTTTCAAACTTTGGGGCATGTCCCCCTACGGGAGGGTGCACCCCCTGATTTGAAAACCATCTTCTTTTGCTAGGAGCTGGTGGGCTGAAAGCTGGTAGGAGCCACCCAGACTTCTCAGGCTCCCGCTCAACATGCTGTGAGAACCGGGGTGCAGCCTGGCTGCCCTCCATGCCCTGCCTCTGCACAGCTGAGCGCTCCCTAAGCAGGACGGGCAGCTCAGCTCTGAGCCATGCCCTGACTCACTCTTGCCTCTCCCCCACAGGATCCAGGCACCAGCCAGAGATGCCCCCTGGAGATGGTTCTGCCTGTGGAACCCAGGTGCCACAAAAGGCTCCCGAGTCGCTCACTCACCGCTGCCCCGGTGCTCCTGGCTCTGCTGCTGCTTCTCAGCCCACAGGTGATATGTGGTGTGGTCATGTGCCCCGGAGAACCTGCTAGCCACACTCACTAGGAGTCCCAAGGGCCCCAGACGGAGTCTCTGGATACACCCCCAGCAAGTGCATCCACTGAATGGGAGCCCTGCTAACCTGTTAATCCTGCACTTTTGTCCCTTTCCACATGCTGGATACATCAGAGCAGATGCATTCCTAGCATAATCCCCATTGACCTTCAGCAGGGCTGCATCAGGGTTGGGTCTGGATCAGGGCCAATGACGATTCGTGTGGTTTCCAATCTCCATCGCGGCCTCGTGGACAGTTTAACTCTTGGACACAGTAAGGATTCAAATATCATGGATTGGTCTCTACTCACCTTTCCTGGGCTCCGTGGCGTCTCTGCAGCTCAAGCTGACTCCTGATCTCCGATAATGAAAAATCTACATTATATAGGAGATTGTCCCTCCCTTTGGGAACTCTCAGATAACAAGGTCAGCACAAATGTGGTCAAATAGTCAAACTTCCCAGAACTCAGTAGTGCGGCTTCTCTGTCACATAAGGTTTCATTCTTCCCAATTTCAAGGCATGAAGGGTATTTCCCCACGCAGGGCTGGGTTCCTGAGAAGTCCATGCTGCAAACAGGATGTTGATAATCTATAATCAGACATAATGGATGAGCACATACAACATTCTGAATTCATCTAGCACCTAAACCAGGGCTACTCAACAAATGGCCCAGGGGCGGTTTGGGTTTACGCAGGGCTCAACGTGCGGCCCGCGGGTGGGATCCTTTGAATATGGCCTCCACTGGGAACATGCTCCACAATGGTGAGGCATCTCCCAGGCAGGGTGAGCATTGAAAGATGCAAGCAGACAGGCTGGCTGGAACAGACGGGTACAGGGTGTCCGCTTTTCTAGCCCCCAGGGAGGAGGTGCTGGGAGCGTCGGGGCATTGTGGGAAGTGCTTTGTATTCATGCCTGTCAGTGTGAAAGAAGTGATTTGCAAATAATGTACATGCAACCACGCTTAAGTTTGCGGCCCTCAGCATGTGCTGAGAGTATCATTGTGGCCCCCAGGGCTTCCAAAGTTGAGTAGCCCTGGCCTAAACCAACACCAGCTGGTGTCAGAGTCTTGCCAGTGTCTTGCAAGGCAGTTCTATCAGACCCCTGAAAATGTTTAAAGGCAAACTTGAAAATCATAGATAATGAATACTGTATTTTCTGGCGTATAAGACTACTTTTTATACTAAAAAACATCCCCCAAAAATCGGGGGTCGTCTTATACGCCGGGTATAAACATACTGTAGCTTTGGCTACATACAGAACGTCCCTGTGCTGATACTGTATGTACCGCGCTGAGCCAATCACGGCAAGCGGTGTCATCTATTAATGCATACAAAGCCTGCTTGGATTGGCTGAGTCAGAGAGGTGGGCTATTACAACCTTTGCCAATCCGAGCAGGCTTTGTATGCATTAATAGAATACACCGCTTGCCGGGATTGGCTCAGCGCGGTACATACAGTATCAGCACAGGGACGTTCTGTATGTACCGCGCTGAGCCAATCACGGCAAGCGGTGTCATCTATTAATGCATACAAAGCCTGCTTGGATTGGCTGAGTCAGAGAGGTGGGCTATTACAACCTTTGCCAATCCGAGCAGGCTTTGTATGCATTAATAGAATACACCGCTTGCCGGGATTGGCTCAGCGCGGTACATACAGTATCAGCACAGGGACGTTCTGTATGTAGCCAAAGGTACAGTACTGTGTTAGGGCACATCCAGCGGGCTGGTGTTTTTAAATGGTGTTGCCTCAGAAGGGGGGGGTAGTCTTATACGGCGAGTATAGGCCAAAACCTATGTTTTAACTGGAAAATTAGGGGGTCGTCTTATACGCCCAGTCGCCTTATACGCCGGAAAATACGGTAACAATCTTGCTAGTAACATTAGGATCTCACTACTTTCCTCTGTAAAACCCTTACGCATCCCTAAATCCCCTGGCACTTGTGCAATGCAATGTGGTGTTTTCAGAAGGGAGAGCGGTGGAATTCCGTCCTGATTCTTGTCTTTACCAGCTTATGCCCTAAAGCATGAAATTTGTTTTCTCACTTTTTCCCTTTGCTTGCCATCAGTGCAGGCATTGTAGGACACTGGCAGAAGCCAGTTCTCTTGACAAAACAAACAGCAGAGTCTACACTGGCTCTTTGCTGACAATAAAGGGAGGGGAAAAGACAAAAGTATCCTGCAGGGGTGGACCTTTTTTGTTGCCAAAACTGGGTGTTTTTCCCAACAAAAGTCGCATTGTAGTGTAAACACTGTTTTGTTGCTAACAGGCAGTTTTGAGTGACAAAATGTGCCAGTGTAGATAAGGCCTTGGTGACCATGAAACCATCCAGACCACCTATACACTTCACAGCCAACGCCTGTTGACTTTGAATGAAGTTTGTTAAGCTGTTCCCCCTGCACTGGCCAACTGACACAGAAGAGACCAAAGATCCTCCAAGGCATGAGCAGGCAAAGGATTTTAAGTGAGTACAAGTATTGAGACATAAACGTCAGAAATGGTTTGGAGAAAAAAACAGATAAAGCTGTCATTAGTATCTACCTAAGAAACTGTCTTAGGGTGCATCTAGACTAGCAAGATTTTGCGCAAAAAATTGCCAGCTGTCTACACTGGCCACTTGAATTTGCGCAAGAGCACTGACTTCGTAATGTACAAAATCAGTGCTTCTTGCGCAAATACTTTCACGCTTCCGCTCGGGAAAAAGCACTCTTGCGCAAGAATGCTTGCGCAATAGGGCCAGTGTAGACAGGGAAGAACTGTTTTGTGCAAAAAAGCCCCGATGGCTAAAATGGCGATAGGGGCTTTCTTGCGCAAAATTGCGTCTAGACTGGCCACGGATGCTTTTGTGCGAAAACCCATCCATGCCAATCCAGACGCGCTTTTGTGGAAATACTTTTAACGGAAAAACTTTTCCGTTTAAAGTATTTCTGCAAACTAATGCCAGTCTAGACGCAGCCTTAGGGTATGTCTACACAACAGCACTATTTCGAATTAACTTATTTCGAATTAGTTAATTCAAAATAAGCTATTTCAAAATAACGCATCTAAACCCGAAAACTAATTTGAAATAGTGTTTTGCTATTTCAAAACAGCGCATCCACACTGATTGGATGCTGGATCGCATTTAAGGGCAGCTGAAACTGGTTCCAGCAGGGCATCAGGTCAGTAGTTGCTTTGTGTGGCTGTTGTCTGAAGCTATCTGAGGCTCGTGCTTAAAGGGACCCCCCTGGACAGCCAGTGCTCAGCTTTCCCGCTTGCTTGCCTATCTCGCCGAGGGACAGCAAAGCGTTTTCCTCTCCACCTGCTTCGGTCGCTCTCCTTTGGGACACCGCAGCACTCGTCACCATGGAGCCAGAGCTGCCCCTGGGCACTCTGGAGCTCATGTTCAGTGTCTTGCTGTAAGCCTGGCAGCAATTGCTGGAGGCTGTCTGGCACCTTCTGCAGCAGCCCAGCCCCCTGGCCCTCCCCCTGCCCCGCCTGGAGGAGCAGCGGCCGGATGCCAGTGTGCTCCGCTGCATCTGGCGTCTGGACGCCAGCAGTGAGTGGTGGGACCACATCGTCCTGGGGCGCTGGGGAGACCAACAGTGGACCCAGAACTTCAGGATGAAGGAGGACACCTTCCTGGAGCTCTGCGAGTGGCTCGCCCCTGCTCTGCAGCGACGGGATGCTCGCATGAGGCCCGCCATCCCCCTCCAGAAGCATGTGGCCATCGCCCTCTGGAAGCTCTCCACGCCAGACAGCTACTGATCCGTCGGGAACCAGTTCAGCATGGGGAGATCCACCGTTGGAGCAGTGCTCATGCAGGCATGGCACTTACCGGCCACTGGGCCGGGGGGGAGAGGGGACTGCAAGGAGGGGGTGGGCCGCCCCAGGGCAAA